ATTATTTTGGAATTGTATCCTCAAAATTCGCGTTCCTTGGTATTTTTCAAGATTCCTGGAATCCTCTTCACTCTTGGGAGATCTAGTAAAAACTCTCCTAGAGGTTTTCCTAAAGCTACCTAGAAAACAATCTTTGAAATACCTTGGTGTTATCTCTAGAATTAATTCTAAAATTTGCTCAAATTTGCTTCGGAAAGAAATTCTAAAATTCTCTTAATTGTGACTGTAGTTATCCTGAAAATCTAGACCAGTCCAAGGGTCTTGAAATCTTTTTGTTTTCGAAGAGAGGACGAGGTATATTTTTCCAGATTTGTCAACTAAATTCATGGGATTTTTCCCGGTGACTTCAAATTCCAGCTTTTTCCAGTTTTCCCGGTTCACCGGTCACTCTACATTTCACATATGAAACACTTGTTTTTAATCCCGTTATATTTGTTTTGCCTTGAGCACATTTTGAGACCCAGCTCCGTAAGAAAATAATTCCGGATAATATGCTTAACCAAAACTTAATTCGCGGGCGGATTCCTCCGGTGGTATAAAGTAAAAACAACGCTTTCATCTCCAAAGTTCTGTAAGTTAATCCAATCTAAATTGCAATAGCAGCAACATTACCATACTAAAACTTTACTGTGAAGCTAATTTTACGAGCTAACCAGGTTTACAATGAAGACCTAGAATACTTAATGCAGCCACTCTATGATGTCAAAGCAATGCTTGTCTACGTATCTTTGAATCATTATTCAATCATAAAAGTGCTACTCTTAGCAATCAAAAAAAACCTTTCAAGCAAGACCATTATCCTAAATTCTCATTTAGTTAGTTCTCTGAGCTAATCAAGCTGTTAAGACCACAACAAATCATTATCTTCAGCTGGGTTTAGACAAGGCAAGTCAATTGATCAACTCATTCGAATTGAAAAAAGTTAAACTAAGTTTATCAATGACTTGCCTTATCTAAGCCCAGCTTTACTCTTAAAAATTCTTGCATTTACTCAAACGCGCTCCAATGCGCTCAAGGGATTGATTCTTGTTGGACACAGCTGGATCGAGCAGAAGCAGAATCTACTTGAAGGTTACATTTTGTCAGACGCAATTAGGTATAACATCTATTAAGAGACGCTCATTTTCATAAGCAGCTTAATTTTGCAACTAGCGTCTAACGTCTCTATGGAACTGAATTTTTATCTCGGTTCAACTAAGGAATGTGACAACACCCAGTGGGAGCTGAATTTATAATAGGCCATCGAAATATCCTTTTATTTGAGTATTTTTTGTTCCGCTTGCAAAACTGCAACATCAAGCGTTGAACAACCACACTTTCGCTACTCTATTTAAAATTTGAAATTGAAAACAATCCTCAAACTACAACGAGTAATTAAGTTTTTTGAAACTAGCGAAGTTAGCCATACTTATTAATATGTTTCTGTCATAAAGAAATATTTTCCTGACTTTGAATGAAATTCCCTGACAATCCCTGATTTTCCAGGTCCAAAAAGGAATTCCCTGAAATTCCCTGATTTTACAGGTAGTCGACACCCTGTCTTTGTACATTGAATATCACTTCTTTCACGAATAAGTTCGGACCGAGTTCTATTTTACGTTTTAAAGCAATTTTCTACGAGCGTTTATGGACTAACGTTAGTTTCATTTAGCAGGAATTTTACATAAAATGAAGGCTCTTCCGACTTTTATTGCCACGTATTTTAACCTCTCCTCGAATTCTCGCGATATATTTTCATTAGCTTAGCATAACTCAGAAAAAAAGTGACTCTCTGATAGTGAAATTGGCAGGTTTTAAACACATACTTTAGAACCTCTTCATGTAATTTACAAGTAAAAAATATCATTATATCATCAGATGATTTCATAATTCAGCTAAAACGTGTTTTGTAGCGAAGCGAGTGGAAGCAACCCTGTGTTCCGTGCACTTCACTGATTCATCGTGGTCGCTGAATACAAATATATTCTCATGTTTTTAAAAGTAAATTTACATTCAAGTCTATGTTCACCATCACCGATAAAAAAACATCCTTGATGTACCAACACATCCTAGTCCAACAATTCAGAGTTGATCAGTTTCACAAGCATCGAAAATTTCATATTAGATATAAACCCAACCTTGAAATCTTAAAAATTAAGATCCTCTGTCAATACCGATCGATAAACAATGGGTCTAATATATTCCGAACGAATATACGCTGGTCCTGATTACCCAACAAAACACATCCCTCCCATGTACTCTAACGTTTCTCCTCCACTCCGTCCTTTCGTTTGCATCCAAAGTTCATCCCTCGAACCCACTGAAACACGCGAACACTCACTCCGGCCACTAGATCCACGTGACTTCCAGTTTTGCCAACATCGTTGTCATCACCAATAGCATCGCCACCAACACCACCAGCACCACCGCCGCCACTAACACGCACACCAGCGCGAGGTATTCCAATGACAACGCTACGTTCGTTCCCATTTCCGTCCTTCTCCAGCGTGTTAGTTTCTTTTTTGGTAATTGTCTCACGTTCTCGGTGCCTCCCGGATTGTTCCAAACCTTCTCCGTTTCCGACCTGTTTGCTCTCACCCGGTGGTGGTTTTCCGTTCCGTCCGCTTCCTCCTCTCCTTTTGCTGGACGACGACGACGTTGAGCACCGGGAGGGCGATGGGGATGCACGGATTGCTGCTGATGCCGTTGTTGACTTGTTGCGCACTCCTGCACCGCCACCACTTCCGCCACTTCGGCTGCTGCTACTGCAACAGCTGCTGCCGCCACCGCCGGTGGCTCTATATTATAACGATCCGCTGGAGTCGCCATGAAAGTGCAGCAAATTTTCCCCACTGAACGACGCCGTCGGCGAACCGGAAGAGGATGGCTGCAGATCCAGGGAAGCCCTGCTGGCCGAACTAAAGCTACTACTACTCATGTCCTCCTGGTCCAGATGGACCAGCGATTGGATTCCGACGTGCGCCAGCGATGATATTGTCGTGCCACCACCTCCACTACCGCCGTTTCCGGTGGTATTAGTTGAAGAAGTAACGCCGCCGGCGCCATATGCGGGGCCATCTGTAAGGAAGAGCAAATTAAAATTGGTCATTTTTTTATGCAGAATGAGTATTCTTGGTTGGTGTTTTTGTTTTGTTTAACGAAATAAAAAGGCTGCGTAAGTTTGGATTTTTTGGGTTTTCCACTTTTTATTCTGATTTTCGTCTTTTTTTCTTTTATTTTGTTTTTTTTTTAGTTTTTAAATTTTTCATTAACTTATATTTAATATAAATTAATTTAATCTTATTCGTACTACTTCATTTTTTTAGTATTTTTTCTCGTCGAGATAAATATACAAATAATCACATTTCTTTTTTATTTTGCTTTGTTCATTTTTTGCTTTTTTTGTTTTCTCTGTTTTCAACACGCCTTTTTAACTTGCTGCATTTTTTGTGATTTTTTTTTCGTTACCCTCTCTCTCTCTCTCTCTCTCTCTTTCGTTATGTTTTTTTTTTCTCTTAACCCCCCTTCGTTTTCCGGCCGCTCCTAGTAAGCTAATCACACTTGGCTTTTTGTTTTTGAAAACTTTCACGCGCGTCACATTGTTACTTCTATTAGCCATACTTGCATCAGATTCACATTCACAGTATTTCTTTTCTCTTGGTGTCTCTCTCTTTGCCCATTTCAGTTTCTTCGCTTAGAGTATAAATTTGCCAATAAAATTTGTATGTTCAAAAGAAGTTCACTAGGCAGTATCTAAATTTGGACAGAGCAAAAAAGCACAAAAATATTTGTTTACACATTTTGGAGATCCTATAAGCGTTTCCCTTTTCGATGCGTTCCCGGTTTCACCACACTCATCACTGGGGTGGAATGGAGAACGGTGTCGAAAATGAAAAATTTATTTTTTATTCTTTCGATAAGTTAGCTAAATATAAACGTAAATTTAGCTGCATGTGTACTGCTTTGTGTTGAGAAAATTGAAACTCAATTCGTGAAATATTTCAATCAGTAGTCTTTGATCTCACGGTAAGGTCAGTGTTGTTGGAATGGTTTGAACAATATGGATACGTTCTATTTGAAGTGCTTGAAGTACCCGACGATGAGTAGAATTTCACTCATTTTAAAGAAAAGCATGTTAACTGCTTTTGTTTAAATGGGAGCAATTTCACTGAATACTTTAAAGTGAGCGCTTAAGCTACACAAATATTGAAGCATTTTTGCCAAGGATCATATCGGATATTTTCAAATAAATAGTAGAAGTTCACCCGGGTAAAATAGAAAATGAATTCAAGATCATTCAAAAATTTTAAAGGTATAAGTCATGTTTATCATAAACACCAGTGTACATTGAATCTACCTGGCATTGTAAAAGGATTTAGTTCTGAAGTTTAGATAAAACCGGATATATTATTCAAACCATTTCTCTTCGTTTTTGTCTTTGAAGGGTGCCATTTCAACGAATCGCATTCGGTGAAACAACTCATTGCCTACAAAAAACAAAGATCAACAGCACTGCGCACTTCTCCCCCCCCTTTCCAATTCCCGTCCCGCTCTTTCGTTCCAAATTTGAATAAGTTAATAAATATTCATTTTTCTTCCTAAGTGACTATCAAGTTCATTTACGTTTTAAATATCAACAACAATGATGAACGGCGCTTCTATACTTTGTATGATGTTGTGAGTGTGATTTGCATGGTAGCGTGTGTTTGTATGTGTGTGTGTGTTCTTATGAGTGATGAAACTGTTTTCTTTCTTATTGAAAAAAATGTATACCTTACCCTTTGCGGCCAAATTAACAGATTTTGTTGATTTCGATCAGTTCCTTCCGAAAACTGTCTAAAATATATAGCACTAGATTTCTCCTTAATGTATTCACATAATGTATCTATTCATCATATTTTTTTTTCTCATTTTTTTCAGTCGTTTTTGAGCTCTTAATTCCTAAAACTGTTCCATTCCAAGATGACTCACGCTACTTATTAAGGTAAGTTTGCTTTTGTGAAGCTAGAAAATTTGACGCCAATTTCAAAGGATTTCTTGGGGACAAAATTGAAGATTCCAAATGTTAAATTACCGCAAACGAAAAACAATCTAAACAACCTTAACAGTTGAGGGATGTGCAGGTCTCTTATCTAATATTTGTGTTTAGATAATACAGATTTCTTTCGTATTTTTTGTTTTGTTTCAACAATGCCCTTAAAACTTCTACGCAGTTTTGAACGGTTTACTTCGTATAAAATACTTAAAACATGACTAAAAGTTTGTTAACAAAATTAGTTCGTTTGTTGCAGTAAAAATTAAAGAAGTTTTTCATAAATAACCTATATGAACAAGTTGACGATGCGATTACAAAGGAGAGGGTCGCTGTGTCTCTATTTGCGAGCGAGCAGTCTATCTGTCAAGCAACGAAACATGTCACCGTCTGACGTTTCGGTTACGTGCTTGGAACTTCGCCATGCTTTTCACAGATAAACCGCTCACTCCCTAGGTGCTCGTTATCTGATTTTCTAAAATAATAAATACCTTGTCAATCTGAGTTAACTGCGGACAAATTTTGACTGTTTCTAGAAAGTGGAGGACTTTACTAATAAACAAAAAAACATAATTTTAACTGTCACCGCATCCGCAGCCGTGGGAAAAGCTTCCGCTTAGGACAATCGAAAGCTCTCACGGCCCACGGCAGGAACTCGGTTACAAGGAAGAGGGAAAGATATGGAAAACTTCTATAAATAATACAATAAATATAACACTAGCATGTAGCAAAGCTGCAGCAGAAGAAGATACGACAACAGCAATAGCAGGACCAGCAATGATGCTGCAATCACCAGCGCCAGCAGCACGTCACCGGTGGCCGCTAGCAGCACCATTCGCTGCGCTGCTAATTATTTGCGCTTCTTCTTAGACTTCTTCTTGCCGTTGCCATTATTGCCATTGTTGCCACCATTGCTGGATTGCTTTGCTGTTGTTGCCATCTGCTTGCCGCTATCCTCACTTTGGTTCGCTTCCGTCGTTGGCAGTGCTGACGTTGTTGTTGATGTCTTGGCAGGACTTCCGGCTGCTGCCACGAAGCCGGAAGTGGTCATGGAGCTGCTCAAACTGTCCCCTGGCCCGCCGCCACCAACTACAGTACTTACGACCGTAGCCGACAGCGACGAAGATGACGTTTTGTTGCTCGAGATCAGTGGTTGTAGTTCCTCGTCCTCGTCTTCGCCTTGCGGCGGAAGCTTTCCATTTTGTTTGACTTCATCTTCCGGCTCATCGTTGTTTGAATTCGAAGTATCGTCGTCCGATGCCGATGACGCCGGCAGCTGAGAGCTGTACATAGCACTGTCATCTACCTCGAGCTCCAGGCTTTTGTAGTCCGAATCCTGTCCTTCGACTGATAGTTGCTGCTTAAGCACAGCCGGTTCCATCATCGACGTCGAAAGGCTTCGGGTACCACCCAACAACTGAGAACCACTGGATTCTCCCATCTCCTTCAAGCTCGAGCACATGGCAAACACAATATTTCTACCCTCCAAAATTGACTTTCCTCGCTCACTTACGCTCTCCTTGGCCGTCTCTTCGAGTGGGCTCTCAAAATTAATGAGTGTCTTTTCCTCACTCAACTGCTTCAAAAACTGCTCCTTCTTCTCACTCTCGCTGAAACCCAAATCCTCCAAATCTTTACAAATCAACGGTTCCAACGGAGGCAGCGGCTCCGGGAACTCCAGCTCATAACGCGTAGAAATCTCGTAAAACTCTTCCTCCTTCACTGCTTTCGTTTCTTCCTCTTTCACTAACTCAACACACTTGTTCTCTTCTACCACACTACTTCCCGCATCATCTTCATGCACGTGACTCGATGCCTCGGCATCATCCGACTTGACCGGTTCATCGTCGTCGCGATTCCCAACCAAACTAGAAGCAAGCATCGATTCCTGAACGCTAATTTCCGTTCTGGTCACTTTCAAATTTTCCGGTTCATTCGACTCTCCAAACAGTTCCAAATCATCAATTTTCAGCGCTTCCAGGGGTGGGAATTCGTCACAGATCGATTTGAGCATATCGTCTTCTATCGGCGCTGCTTCGCGCAGCTCCGGTTCCGGAACCGTTTCTGGCGGCGTCACCGGAGCTTGGTACTTTTCTTTTCGCTTTCGATTGTCTTGCTTGGTTTCTTTCCTATTGCTACCGCCCGTTTGGCCACCACCATTGCCAGCTGCACCCTTCAACGGCTTCGTTTCCGCTTTCGTCGTCGGTTGTTGTTGTTGTTGCTTCGGTTCTTCCTTTTTCTTTCCGTTGTCCTTCTTCTTCCCACCACGAGGAACCTTCTCAACTGCCGGTAGATGCAGTTCCTCCCCAACGGGATCAATTATCTCGATTACTTCAATTGGTTCCGGATCCTTTTTTTTCCTTTCATTCCGCGCCGACACGGGAGGCGATTTTTCTTTCTTCCGTCCGGCCTTCGGTGCCTCCGGTTTCCGCTCCACAATTTCCACATCCACAAAATCTCCGGACATCTTTCGATCCGTCGCCTCCGGAATCACCTCGATCACTTTCGGTTCATCCTTTTTACTCTTCTTGTTTATCGACGACAGTTCCTCAAATTTAGCCACCAAGTTCTCTTCTTCTTTCTTCTTGGCCTTGCTAAAGTATACCATATTCTTCTTTTCGATCACTGGCACGATCAACTCTCGACTGATTAGCGAAGCCGGTTCCTCACCGCCCGCTACCAGCGAGCTCAATCGATCCAGCGACGAACCACGCCGTTCGTGTTGTCCCCCCGGTATACCGTGTACGGTAACGACCGGTCTGAACAGCGCTTCGTCACAGTTTTCATGCATGTAAACATCGCAATCCCGAACCCCAAGGGGATCCGATCCGGATTCCGCCCCGTCCGATTCGACATTGCAAACGGTGGTTACCGTTCCCAACGGGTTCACCACTTTGGTTATCGTCATCGAACCGGACGCTCGACTACTCGCTGCCGAAGCAGGTCGCGAACAGATCGTTGGAAGTGACGACGAATGGTGCTGATCATGCTGCTGCTGCTGTTGGTGCTGCAGATGCGATACGTGGTGTTTCAGCAATTGTCCGTGGGATGGCGCACCTGCTGCCACTACGGGGAGGGATAGCTTTTGGTCACAGATCGAGTTCAACGAGTGCGTCGACGAGTAGATCGAGGTGGAGGAGCAAGAGGACACCGAAGACAGCCCAGCCGGAATGGGCGTGGCGCTCGCATAGCCTTCAGTTGGTTGAGAGGAGCAATCGGGAAAGAAAGAGAAAGAGAAAAAGGGGAGAAAAGTGGTCAGTAAAAGCCGCTGGCAAGTGTGTAGAACTCTTTTTGAATCATCTACGTATTTGTACTGTTTCGCTCTATCTCTCTTTCTATAAAGGTTTGTTTCATTCGAATTCAAACGATTCGCTACTAGAACCGAACCATGCAAAGTCTGTTCCAACACCACGGCGCTCTAGGAATGATCGGAAACAATAGAAAATCGTGCCGCGTCGTAGTTTGGGTTCGCGATTGAAACCAATACAGAGAAAAAGAAATGGGGAGAAAATCGAGCTATATTTCAAAAGGCGTTGTTTGTAAAAAATAAGCAAAATTTGGAGACAGTATCATTCCGAAAACAGAAACAAAAGAAATCAAAGCAAATGTGGTGTTGGAACAGGTATGTGGTTATACAAGTCGAAATGTTAAACAATACTCAGTTACAGTTTGTTACAGTATGGAAGCTTGCGACTGTCCGAGTAAAAGAAAAACAGAATTTTAAGGGAAACAAAACTACGTAAAAGTAACTAAAGAAACGCACACATTCTAATACAAAAAGAGATCGAGATTTTGAAATTTTGCTTTGCTTTACTCGTCCACGTGTCATACGGATGGTTTTTGGAAAGCAACGAAATTAGCAAAGAATGAAAAAACCACCTGCCTTTGGCTTCTTGTTTTTTTTTTTAGTTTGCTTGTTTTTTTTGCGGTTAGAGAGTTTGGTAGGACTCTTTTTTCTCCCTTTTTTCTTCTTGCTCTTGCTTTTGGACTTGCTGTGTTGTTGTTGTTTTGTTTAGCGCTGAGCGGTGTATGGGAATTTTTAGTGAACATGGGTTGTATTATATTGCAATATTGCATAATGAACGGCAGATATTGATTGGGTTTCCCCTACCGCCACCGTGTGGATTTCTATAAATAGTGCTATAGATACGATAAGCCAGAATTTAGTTGGGTTACAGTAACATTGTTATATGATGATGAAAAAAGAAGCTGTTAGTTCCAGTATCTAAACCGGGTGAGTTCTACAGATATGGTCTACATAGATAGTTTTAGGCATATGAAGTACTAGAAGAATTAATTTTAAGCAAGCTTGTGATTTGTTTTATGCACTACATGTAATGAAATAATGGTGGAGAGTTGATAGTAATGATATATAAATTAGAAGAACTTTGTCAACACTGGTAACGCTTAGGAGACAATAATAAACCTTATACAAAAGGGAAAATTTGCAAATTGTGATATTTAGATTGATTTCTGTTTTTTTACGGTAAATTGTAACCCCATTGGATAAACTTAGGCGGTTATAAACCTTAGTAGGGAGAACTTCAAATGTTTAAAACAACCTCAATTCAAGCTACATTGGTTTATCAGTAGTAGGTATTGAAAGTATTTGTCTATAATTTGATTATGCATTCAAATAAAAATTATCTGTACGTCGCAGATGTATTGACTTCCGACGCAACTGACAGCAGTGCAAAAGAACTGTCACATGAGCCAAGAATAACAGGTACAATGTACACAAATATCGTCGTCTAATCGAATAAAACATCCGAACCAGTATCTGTTTTATCATCTACCATCCCACGCAAGGAGTAGCGCTTCTGCCCAGTGTAGACGAATTGCATTCGTTTTGAATATCTTCATTGTGAAGTACGAGCGAAACGAACAAATGATTTCATTATACATCAACGAATACGCGTTTGTTGATATTCACCACTGCTTGATTATCCAATTGTCAAAATCAGAAGCGATCATCAAAAGCAAAATAATAAAATCCATTTTAGACAAAATGATTATTTTGAATATGGTCGACTCCAAAGCCGCTATATGTGTATAATATGAAAATAATCATTTTGTATTTGATGCTCAAAATCATCCCCACCAAGATGAAGATGAATATTGATATTGACAACAACACAGGCGATAATAAACATCCAGCCACGAATGAACAAAAACAAATGTTGACTTCGATACTCAGGGGTTGCCTTGATCAAGAGAATGTGTTTATGTCAAAATTCAAATTCATGCAGGTAGTTGGTCTATCTGTTAAGGTTTTCGCTATTTCGCTTTTTCGAATGATAGCTGCAACTGGATGACGGTTGTTTTGAAGTCAGATGATTTTCCTCTCGAATACAGGATGAACATTGTTATTAGAATGGGTAGGGCGTAATGCTCTCTGCAGAATGATTGTCATCCTAAATTTAAATGCATATGGTATTGGTTCAGCCCCATAATGCAAATCATTCAAAACGATTATGTAAATAATTCTATCGAACGTCGTTTGCTGATCTGAGTTGACAAACGATGTGGAAGCATAGTCATCGGCTATCAGAGGTGGTACCAACATGGGTAAAACGTGGAAACCAACGTGCTGGAGGAAGTTTCCTCTATCAACCAGAGCGTAACATTATTGACTGCTTATGCTGAGTGTGAAAGCACTGCACTATTCAATTCATTACTCTACCCTAATAAAAATAAACATAAGAAAGAACTCATCGGGGTATCATCCAAACTATTTGTGGGATAGTTCTACCATACGAGTTACCGTTCGTTTATGGTATTTGTTTATTAGGGTACCGGACCGTTTGTACCAAACGGTAAAGGACGAGGCAATGAAAGAGCCAACAAAAACATTCAGTCACTCACAAACAGGCGACTCACACCGCTTGCCTTCGCTCACACAGCATGTAATTGGATTCTATAATTTTGAAAAATACGTCGGTTTTCATACATCATCTGAAAGGGCGTCATTTTCTGAGCACAACGATATATTTTTTAGATCCCATTTACATCCATCTAAATTTTTAAATCAAGATTTAAAGCAGTTTTTATGTTGTTAAAATGTATCCAAACATCATTTTTACAACAAACGTTAAAATTACTTAACGGAATAATTGATCAGACCATTATTCTGCAACGAAACTGTAATTGACTTCAGAATGCGCCACCTTCATGTCGATCACGATACTAATGTAATCGATTTTTCCTTTACCGATTTCTTTTGAACTGCGTACTGGGTCAAGAAGGTCAAGAACTGCTAAGAAAAAGTAATTTGTTTAGCATTCCGTGTCCTATCCCGTACACAGAGAAAAAAAAAACAATAAATTTAAGTTCTTTTTACTTTAATTTGGGTAATTTTGAGTTTTGCATCCCACTCTCACTTTTTATTGTTGTCAAAAACGGAACGAGAGATTCCACTTTCTCGTGACTATCGTTCAATAAGCTACTAGTGAGTATATGAGATAATCTCAAATTTAAGTCAATTAAACTTAATTTTGGGTAGAAAATACTCACGAGTAACTAATTATTTTTGCCGTAGTCAAATGTAAACTACTATTAGAGGTTTACTGAAAATTAGCTTATTGAGCGGAACATGGGAGATGAGTGAAAAGAACTTAATTTTGGGTAATTTTTTGGTTCCGTGTAGCACGAAGAAACGTCATTACTTTCCAGCTGCATACCCAATTGATGCATTTTACCATAGAAAATGTAAGCTCAGTCATTTAAAACAAGGATTGGGCACCATCACGGAAGAATAAACGTGCTGACTGAGCTACTAACTGAATGCTCGGCTGTCAGTGACTCGTGACTTCCCAATCATTCAGACTCTCACTAAAGCCTGGTACGCAGCTGAAAAGACAACGGAAAAGTAATTTTTGAGGAATATTCCCAAAAGTAAATTTGACAGCTATAGAGAGGTGTCTTTTGCTAAATTTTGAGATCATAGGTAGGTGTCGTCAAATTTTAAAATCAACAATTATCAATTTTTATGTTGTTAAAATGCATCCAAAACATCATTTATACAACAAACGTTAAAATTACCTAACGGAATAATTGGTCAGACCATTATTCCGCAAGGAAAATGAAATTGCATTCAGAATGCGCCACCTTCATATCGATCACGATACTAATGTAATCGATCTTTCCTTTACCGATTTCTTTTGAACTGCGTACTAGGTCAAGAAATGCTAATTAAAAGAAATTTCTTTAGCATTCCGTGTCCTATCCCGTAGCACGTAAAAACGTCATTACTTTTCAGCTGCGTACCAGGCTTAAACAGTGAATGATGATTCGGATGGCAGTTCAGTTCATACGAATATGACTCATTGAACCGGGAGTAGGCTCTGCCTTTAAACAAGTTTGACGTGCATTTTCTTTGCTGTGATTTTTTCGCAGAAACGATTGCGGCATATTTTTAAAACAGTAAAAAGACCAATCTGATAGTGATTTCCAAAGTAATTCAAGTTTGGAGCTGTCTTTCCGTGACAAAACCCGTGTCATGAAGATTTTGCAAAGCTTCAGAGGGCAGCAGCTCCGAAAACAAACTCCTCCAGTGAACCCCCGAAGTTCTTTCGTTTGCGACGACGTCATGGAGAAGCAAACCACAAGGGCTGATCCTGGGGACTCTTTTAGTGATATTTCATATTAGCTGAACCTGGGTTGAAGTTGAACAGATACAGGACTACAGGAAATTCTCCCTAAAGAAAAGGAATCAGCAGGAATCAGGATGTATTCAAGGAGAGGCAACATGTTAATTCTGTTGAATAGTATCAGATGGATATCATCCTGATTCAAGCAATAGAGGTGAACCATGAAAGTACCAGTAGCGCCATGCAATTTCATTCTGTTGACATTGCTCATGGATTCATTTGGTGAGTTCGTTCCTACTTATTAACACTTGTGATTATGATCGTCAACAGTGTTGAATGGTCACAAACAACTGCAGAATCTGGTGAGAGCCTACTATTTATTTAATTTTAATATTTGTACAGTAGTCGTTTGATTTAGGCACGGTTCGATTTTAGCAACAAAATCACAAAAACGTTCGCTTTTGGAACGGGGTTTAATTTTAGCAACGTGCCAAAATTGAACGAAATTTGAATATAGTGTGTTTTTCCTCCTTGTGATTACAAATTTTAATAAAAGTCTATGTCATGGCGATGCCTCGCAGTGGTCCGAACATAAATTGAATTTCAAAATAAAACCGTTCGATTTTGGCAACACTAAATTTTCGGGCTTGTTACCAAAATTTAAATGATTCCTCGTGGAAGTGCGGAGGATTTCTCGGCTTCCATTACAGCGAGTGTCACGTCAACACATTTCTACCCATTCCTTTCTTGACCTGCGTTAGGGTGCGGCCGGCGCTGGTATTGCCTAGTTTAAGATCACCAGTTTTTACACATTGAGGATGATTGCTAGTCCCAAGCATCAGGATTTTCCAGTAATCAAAGGATCACATTTAAGTCCTTGTTACTTTTTATGACTTGATAATAGTGGGAAGACTCGGGTTGTGACCACCGCGCCGTTATGCATTTCTATATTGTATATTTCAAATCAAAAATATTGTTTATGTTCATAGATTTCACAAATCCTTTTCCCTTTGTCCTTCTCCTTTTCCTTTCCCTATTATCTTTTCAGAAAGCGAGTAATGGCGCTATAGCCATAAGTCATAAAAGGCTAGGACAAGAGTTAGTGCTAATGCCCCAACCGTCAGAAGGAAATGGAGCATCACTTAACCTTTCTAGCTTTGATGCTTCCAACGACCAACCAATCATATAATTACCAAAATCGGAACGTACGGTACGAGATGTCCACGTTTCATTCATTTATTGGATTCTGAAGCATCGTGTTTTATGAATCATCTTGCCCCTTAAATGCTGCACAGTAGGCTTGGCCGTTTTGATATGTGTGACGCATCTTCGATGTGAAACATATATCAAATAGACAAGAAAAATGATGTAGGCATATATATCATTTTCCAGGATGCTTTCAAGAACTGGCTGTGTTGGTGTTGATTAGATTAGATTAGATTACATTAGATTAGATACGAATATGACTCATTGAACCTGACTGTTTTGCGCACTGCTATCAACGAAGAATTTTAGTATCCATAATGGATGATCATGGCTATCCAGTATGGAAATGTAAATAATCGACTTTTAAATATAATTTAAAACTCTTGCATGTCATACTATTCTTAAATGTTTGTCCACTGAGTGCTGTATGTGTTATAGCCGATTTTCAAATAAAATCATCCTTTATTTGGATGCTCATCATCTGACGACAAATTCAACCGTAAGATGATCGAAAAATTCGAATGCATATTGTTAAATGGCTCGAAAAATGCAATATCATTCGAAGTATTGCAGATGTTTTCGTTCAGTGTAGGAAGTAAGTTCGGAAATTGAAAGTCTCTCCACCCTATAATTTAGTGCTGGCGACACAATACAAGTTACTAGAGATAAAATTAACTCAATGTTTAAGTCCATAGCCAGTGCTGGTAAATATCATGTCCGTCATGTGAGAATGAGCAAACAGATCGTATCACTATCATGAGACGAATGATAGCATGAGCATTCTTGTCATTTTTCAATGACGAAGCTCTCATGAGATTAATTCTCATATTTTTTGGAATTTTTTAGAACCGTGAAGCATAGGAGGAGGACAATATTTTCACCTTTCCTGATTAATTTATCCACCGCAGGTGCTTGAAATCATCATCCACGTGGAATATTTTGTTTTCTGTATCGGGTTTGCAGTGATCCGGCTGGTGCTTCCATATATTTTTGATGAGAAAAATTAAGATTTATTAAATTGTCTCAGCGGTTAATCTTCCGGAATGTACATTGTTTTGAGTTTTGAAAATGGTCATTATAATGTAAACAAATGGATTGGATGACATTTCCTCTCAAAATCGACTAGCGCACTCTACATTGATGATGCATGATAAGAGCCTATAGCCCACTTAGTGAAAGGCTTTCGTTAGTGAGGCTGAGCCATAGAGGTAACTCTAAGACCAGATGGTCCCGAAGATACGTGCTCAACTTTTTGGCTCAGCTCTGGTACTATCTTCGGTCCCAAGCTAATCGATGCACCCCTCGAAACATAGGAAAATCCATGAACCCCTCATTTTATCTGTCAAACTTTCATAGCAAATCAAAACAAACATAGTGCAGTACTAGAATTTCGACTAGAGTGGGGTACGTTAATCGTTTGCTTGGGACCAATAGGCTAGTCAAGTAGTGAGCCAATTTTAAATCGCTAGTTTCCACCAGTTAGTTCCAATAGATAGAAACTTTTAGGTAGTTCTGCGAAGGATTCCTGGTGAATACTCAAGGTACAAATGGTTCTGATTCCGATTCCAAGTAAATTCTGAGGAGAATTCGATGGGGATAGCGGGAAAATTCGATGGGAATCGAATACCGAAAAGAATTCCAAGTTAATTATAATGAACTTCCCAAAAGTACTGACTGGAATTTCTTGCAAATCGAGTGTCGAGTGTCTACAGGGATCTAGCATAGAGGTAACTCTAAGACCACTAGGTCCCGAAGAAAATCATTATTATTTTTGGCTCACTCAGTACCAGAACAACGGTCCCAAGCAGTCCCAAGCTATTTCACTCACCCCTGCATGTTTTGCATGAATCCACACACCCCTGATGTTATCTGTCAAATTTTCATAGCGAATCAAAACAAACATAGTGTAGTAATAGAATTTCAACTAGAATAGGGTACGTTAATCGTTTGCTTGGGACCAATAGGCTACTAAAGTGGTGAGCCAATTTAAAATCGTTAGTTTCGTATTGATTGTTGGATCTAGTGCGTGCAGTTTCCCCTACTGAAAAGTGTCAAAAAATAAGGATTGCGGAACATCTGAGTTTGAACCCAAAGTTTTGTAAAGGTCTGAATGTGATTTAATCCTTCCATCAGTAATTATTGTATGCAAATATGAAGCTAAGTCTCGCGTAACATTTGAAAAGGAGCTATCCTCGTTGATCGATTATCTTCAACGACTTTCTCTTTGGTTTACCACGGCAACATAAACGAATTTCTCGCTAAGCTCGCAGCACAGTTCGACAGAAGATGATGTTAGCTCGCGCCTGAACCAACACAGAGAATGGGAAATTCATTTGCAGTCGGGTTATTCGCGAAAGAGAAAATCGATGAAGAGAATCTATCAACAATGATAGGCCCTTTCTCGTGTTGCGCGAGAAGTCTACTCTGCACCGAATCAGTGGCTTAGTCAGCTTTCGAGCACAACTGAAAGCATCCCCTTTATGCAGGGATGAGAATCTTCTTTATGCCCACCAACAGATGGCACTGTACTCTTGCAATGCCGCTCAAACATCTACTTAATCTTTTATTAAGTAAACAGGAGTAATCTCACAAGAATCACTGCAGTCGAAGCATCTCGTGGAAGAACGTGCACGTCAATTGGCCCGATAACCCAAATTAAGGAGAGGAAAAATTTACAAACTGATAATTAGCCAGAACAAACACTAACAAGTCTAGGGACTGATCTACCGCTGAACGACAGTACAGTCGGCCGATCTGCTCTAGGTAAAATGTCAAACAAACTATACAAGAACAGTGTTACCGCTTAAAAAGGCGTTCGATTATTATTCACACAAAATCAGCGTAATAAATAGTACATTAAAAAGCAAAAAAAAAACAACAACAACAACCAATCACACACTTCTTATAATATGTAGGGCAGCATCTCCGCCATGAGTGATTCGCGGAGAGGCTCATTATCACCGGTTTTAAATTCTATAGTCTTATTCGGTTGCAACCCAGCACCTGTGTGTCTCGGCCTGTCGTATACATATTTGTATGGAGTTTTGATTAGTGTTGTAGGTGGAAGGCGTGAATGTGAGAAAGAAATAGGAAAAGCGTTTTCTACACACACTTATAGCGATTTAGCTACTCAGCCCCGTTCACTTCTAGAATAACAGGAAAGAAGTAACAGAAAGTTAGAAATCAAAATAAAACAAACAAACTTTAGTAAGCTAGGTACAAAAAAAAGTGAACTTAATGAAACAAGCGGAACAGTCTTTTACTAAGGAAAATAATCAACGATTCAATGTTCAATACAGTCACATGAGTAAGGTGCCTACCTGTCGTGTCTCGTCCGGAGATTAGCGGTGATTCGCGCATAGCATCAGCGAGATCTTCTCGCAGCTGAGATTCGACTGGTCCCAGCGAAGAAAATTCCGTGTCCAGATTCTCTTGATGCCGAAAATCGGGCATATTGATCATTCGAGGACTTTGCTCGTAGCTACCTGCTCGTCCATACCATCCGTGGCAGCCGGGGGAAGAAGTAAACGAAAATGTAAAAAAAAAGAAACGAAATTAGATTTTCCCTATGATCCGGCTGTATGGGAGGACTTGTGAATTACTACATGATCCAGATTCAATGAGTATGGGTACCAATGGCCTCATACCTCCAGAGATGGGCATATTCATCGGGTTGGAGCGAGCCGGTCGGTTTACCATGTTTCCGGGACCAATCTCCACCGAATCGGTGTCGATCGAAGTCAAGGGGGATCTACAAATAAAGGGTAAATCATTCCGTTGAAGAGTCTTCCCACCATCGAAAGTTTGAAAATCGTTCCAACTTACCCGCTTGGTGTATTGTATGTTTTGAACATAAACTGCGGTCCCATCCAGAGCCGACGGTGAGGTCCGGCGTGCGTTATGATTTCTACCTGTGATAGCCAGCGATCGTCGTGATCAATGCTGCTAGTACTGCCCCGATGGTCACTGCCACCGCGGTGGTGATGATCGAAGCTACCATAATCGCTAACAACATCTCCGACGACTTCCTCGAGAAAGCGATCCTTCACGAGCCAATTGTCCAACGGCAGCGGAGGCTGGATGTCGTTTGCGGTGGCACTTTCCTGGCGCTGCAGAGTCCACTGTGCCTTGGCTTCCACTTCCAGCTCGATCGGTGTGTCATCACAGACTTTCTCTTTGGGGATGTCTAAAACATAGGGCATATATCAAATCTACTAACAGAACTTACAGGTTACTTACTGGTTGTATGTTTCGGTTCCAAGTCGTACTGAATCAATGCCCCGTGGGCGGCTATGATAAATAGTGAATCTACCGGTTTCCGCTGGATGCGATGTGCGGGAGTGTCCCTGGCCGATCCCGGTGGGTCCAACAGCCAGGAACGTGCCTTGGCAAAGGTAGCACAAACCCGTAGTGGCTTTACGAGGTCATCCGAGGAGGAAGAAGAGTTCCGTTGACGGCCACTGCCAGTGGAACTCTTGACGTTCGTGCTGCTGTTCGATTGAGTGCCAAGACTCGACGGTTGCCGCAGCTGCGCTAGCGGTTGGACGATCGTGGGATGTGGGAACGGTGGAATCCGTGGATTAGCGTAGGCGGATGTCGGAGTTTGAGACGCAGGATGCTCCATGTGCGAAACGGGGCTGCTGGACCGGCCGTCAATCGACAGGCCGGCAGAACGATGAAATCTAGATAATCTATTTACAACATGAGGGGAACCGTGTGTCCGAACTCCAGCTGGACCCCCGTAAGGAGTCACCGGAAAGACATGTGTCGTTCCTCGTAAAGTTGAGATCGCTACCCATCGGGAGTCTAACGAGAACGCTATATCCTGTACCTTGGCCGTGGTATCTCCGCGATGCAGAATGTACAGATGGTGAACCGCAGCCAACGAGGGCCCGCTCGGATGCGGATGGATTCGGAAGACGTGGAAATCATGTCCACGTTTGTCCGCAGTTAACAGTAGCATTCCGGAAGCATCAAATTGTAACGCTACAATGGCTTCCGAGTGGGCTACAAAATGTGCAACCATTGGATCGTTTCCGTTGCTGGCAATCGGAGTTCCCGTAGTGGGACTAACATCCTTGATCGGATACTTGATATCAAGTATCGTAACAATTCCTGGCTGATTGCCTTCGCTTGCTACATTTCCCGTTGAACCACAACCGGATAGTCCGCTAATTGAACTAGGTCCCGAATGACTGCCACCGGTCAAACCGGCTGCCATTTGTTCTCCAAGTTCCCGTAAACCTTTTCCTAAGCTTTTCGCCGCATTCAAAACCGTGGCCGTATAGCTGGTGACCCCATCTCCATCGCATCCTCCACTGGACCGTTTCGATGGAAGTAATTTCTTTTCGGCATACGCAATCCAACGAGGACCCAGTGCGATGGGATTGGGATTCAATCCAGGGCTGGGATGGCACGTGGTAACGGTCAACCGGTCCTCCAGCGTACGAGCATCAAAGATGGCTATCCGCTCCGCAAAGCTCACCACCACCGATGATCGGTTCGCAAGGATATCCACTATCGGATTCTTGAACTTGATACTCTTCACGTTCTCGCCGTCCTTTAGTGATATGAAGTTAATCGAGCAGTACTGCGACTGATTGCCGCTCGACATGCCACCACTACTTCCCACGACCCCACTTGAGGCTGAGTCACACAGAGCAATAAGCGGTCGCTTGTGGATGAACTGGTCGTTGGGTTCGGTGGCCGATTCGCCGTCTCCGAAAGTTGGGGTCGGCAGAACCCGTAAGCACTTCACGCTACCATGGCGCCACGAAAGCACCTCAATCGCTTCCCCATTCGCTGGGATGATCCAGACCTACAAAGATGAAAAGCAATCGTTGATTTGGGAATAACGCAAGAAAAAGAGAGCAGATGATCTACCATACCTGAATCCCGTTGATATAGCCCAGTATCAGCAGGAGCGGTGGGGCGATGCCCCCTTCCAGCTCCCAGTCGTCCCCGAGACAGGGATCGCTGATGTCGGCGGTACTCTCGAACCGTGCCCACAGGATGTGATCTTTGCCATCGCCCTGTGGCGTTTGCGTCTGCAGCGTTACATCGTTGATGAATCCGGCCACACTGTCGATGATCGACCGATCACTAACGGCCTGCGGGGGCACTATCGCCGGCATACAGCGCGCAGCAGCCGCGGTCGCGCTGCTGGACGCTGATCGTCGTTGGGAATCGGCGGACATTTTCAGTTGCGATTTCCTACGGCGCACATCGACGACGACGACGGGAACAGAGAAACAAAGAAACAGGGAATTTAGTAAATGAGAAAAAGCGAACAGCTGATGATGATTACTACTGAAACGCGTTGTGTCGAATGACGCGACGTGAGGCATCCGAAGCTGGAACTTGCACAAACACATGGCCACAGACATGGTGCTAATGGGGATAGCACGGAGGGAAAGAAGGTTACCTATTTAAGCATGACGGAGCCATATCGCACCATTTTTATTTGAGAGTCAATTTTCGACGGTGCTTATAAATAACATTATTGATATCATGATAACGACGACATCAGAAATGTCTCGAACGATTCTACGAGTGGAGGAATTAAACAAGAGATTGTTTGGTTCCTCAATTGTTTTGTTATTGAAGAAGAAGGAAAAAAGCGAAGAACAGCTCTTCAGGACAATGCACCGTCCGAAAATATAAATGCTCGAATGCAGCAGCAGCAGCAGCAGCAGAGGAAAACAAAATCGCACAAATGTTCCATGTAAAGGTCACTGTTGCTGTTTGAGCATGAACGATTGCATCACTAGACACGGACGACGACAGGCGTTCAAAGCAGAAGTGTAGAATGCTGTTTCTTTTGTTGAGGTTGAGCTGCATCGGAAATGGCCTCGACGGTTGGAGCGTACATATGGAATAACGATTAGTGGATATTGAGCAGACAGGCTGGATGGATCTTTTAATTCGACGATAAGGCACAGTTAGTCAGATTCTGAGCGTTTGTCTGAACATCAGGTCCAAATAAAAAAAAATAATGGTTGTGTCCCAAGCACGACCACATTATTGACGTCAGACTACGAGATTGTTTTTTTTTTCTTATTAATTTAATTAATAATTACAAAAATTATTAATTTATAAATTGTATTCTAAAACAAACCAACATTCAATTCAAAGTTTTGAAATTAGGGGGCATTCAGTATCTTTAATGTAATTCAATTTACATCTTTCAAAATTCAGTTTCTCTCCCATTCAAATTTAAGTTCCAAACATGTACAATCAATTTGCAGGTACCTACTGAATAATGTTAAAATTCGATATTTAAAATGCATTTTATATAACAAACTGGTTTATAATACATAAAAGTAGGGTAGAGAACTACTTCAGCCTAAGCGCCCATTTTGGGCCTATCAAGCAGAAAACATCAAATAAATCCATGATTTCGGCGTTAACAGGTGAATTATGCGTTTGGTACGCTACTTTAATTCAAATGCTACCGAACGAAGTCACTAAGAACTCGTGATAAGAATATTTGCACCCAATATTCTCAAATACAAAAGAAGCGCTCCGACCGAATCAATCTTTATCTTCATCCGATAGGCCGAGTTTGGCGTCAAGAAGCAGTGTTAGACTTTTGACAATATCTCAACGATTGGTTTCTATTTATCAAATCTTACGGTACGTACGGAAAGGTAAACAAATTTGGAAGCCATTAGTAATAATAACATTCCGTTTGGTGCTAAACTACGCTTGATACAGAAAGACTAAGTGCGGGCTGTGCTCAATAGGCCGGAAATGGGGTAGTTAACCCTACGTCTCAGATCAACTGAATATCATTTGAGTTTGTCATTTATCTGTGTTCAAACAAAAATCCGGCTTTGTTTCGCTGATGTATGCCATGGAAATTGCAAATTGTAATTGACAAATCAATACATCACAAGCCAATACGTTACATTCGTGTAATCTCCATGTCAAAAGTTACGACGGCAGTCCCAAAACAGCAGACGAAATGAAATTTGAAGACAAAAGCAATGTTCCCATTCGGACGTAATAACCACAGACAAACAGACAAAACACATTTAATATTGCTCACTCTAAAACATTACCGCCATCTATTGAGTACACTGTGGTGGGCACTACGCTGAACAGATGGCGGTAGTGTGTAAACGTCAAACGCAAGGGAATTGACTATGCGCGCCACAGGTGGCGGTACTACCAACTACGATACTTTTAAATTCTCCGTTAAATGCTTGTTCGATGAACAACTTGCGAGTGTTATGTCTATTTGTCTGTGTAATAACTATGTATAATAAGAAGAAATTATAAAAAATTCGATTTAAAGAATTATTATTTCGCAGGCACCTTTACTTTCCTGGTCACAGAGTTCTGAACTAAACTGTACACCATCCAATAGGTATTGTGCACCTGAAAAACTCGGCCAAAGGTAGCAAATCATTTCGTACACTGGTGAAGAAATTTTCAACTAAACTGACCACCATACAATAGGTCTTATAAATCTGAACAACAGTATCAAAAACAGCAACCATCTATCTAGTTGAGCTTTCAAGTTAAAGCAAGTAATTGTAAGGCAAAGGCAAATGGGGCCTCCCTTAGCTCAGTCGGTAAATGCGCAGCTACAAAGCAAGACTATGCTGGAGGTGGCTGGGTTCAATTCCCGGTCCGGTCTAGGAATTTTTCAGGTTGGAAAATTTCTCGACTTCCCTGGGCATAGAAGTATGATTGCACTTGCCACACAATTATACCAATGCAAAAATGGTACAGGCATCGAAAGCTCTCAATTAATAACTGTGGAAAAGCATCTAGAACACTAAGTTGAGAGCACGCAATAAGCTAATATGCGATATGCAATAAGCTTGAAATGCGAAGAAGAAGAAGAAGAAGAAGAAGAAGAAGAAGAAGAAGTAAGGCAAATCAAATACTCGCCGGGCCTGGTGTGAGAAATTAGAACTGAGCTGTCCACTATATCGTGTTGACAGCAATCTAGCCGAGATGTCTCGCGCGGCACGAGAAAAGGGCCTATCATTGTTAATCGATTCTCTTCATCGATTTTCTCTTTCGCGAATAACCCGACTGCAAAGGAATTTCCCATTGAGTGTGCTGCTTCAGGCGTAAGCTAAGATCATCTTCTGTCAAACTGTGCTGCGAGTTTAGCGAGAAATTCGTTTATGCTGCCATTACCACGGAGAAACTCGACGATGAGAATCGATCAACGAGGATAGGCCCTTTTCAAATGTTACGCGAGATGTCGACTTAAGCAAGCCATTAGTATCAAATGGCACTAGTGGTTAGCAAGCAAGTAATACGATGCCTAATTACACACCTAGTGTCACATGGTGAGTTAATTCTGAATAGGTCTTATTTATACTGTGTCCAAGACGGCTACCTGCTACCTAGTCGAAGACGCAACCCGCATAAACGAGAACCATAAATTGACCTTACCGATAATGGTTATAAATTATTTATAATCCCTCCTTAACTTTAACTGAAATGGTTTTGGAACCTTACATGAACGTTTGTGTGATAAAGTTTTAACCTTATGTATTATGGTTTTTAGGAAGCGGACCTTACAAATAATGGGTCGTTAAGAACCATTACCATTCCAAATTCTTGTTTTCTCCATACATTTTCGGAAAGAGAACTATATTAGAACGTTTTTACTTATGGTTTGAGAACATTAATGATTATGGTTATGGTAGTCAGTAAGGCCCATGAATGGTTTTGTAACATCGATCAACTTTATGTGGAATATATCGCGAATTGGTTGCCTGTAAATTAATAATTATCAGTTCGCGATATATTCCACGTAAAGTTGAGCGATAATACAAAACGATTAATGGACCTTACTGACTACCATAACCATAATCATTAATGTTCTCAAACCATAAGTAAAAACGTTCTAATATAGTTCTCTTTCCGAAAATGTATGGAGAAAACAAGAATTTGGAATGGTAATGGTTCTTAACGACCCATTATTTGTAAGGTCCGCTTCCTAAAAACCATAATACATAAGGTTAAAACTTTATCACACAAACGTTCATGTAAGGTTCCAAAACCATTTCAGTTAAAGTTTAGGAGGGATTATAAACAATTTATAACCATTATCGGTAAGGTCCAGTGATGGTTTGCGTTTATGCGGGAAGTTAAAGCAATAAGAAGTTAAATGGTATACTTTTTTTTTATTAATTTATTTGATAAGGCTCAACAGAATTAACTTTACAGAGTCGAGGATTCTTGTTCACTATACAATACATCTTAAAACTATAGTCAAATGGTACAACACAATAAACATTTTATCTTCCGTTATCCAATAAGCCTCCTCCACCAGAACGGGAGCCGCTTCAAGTGGTTTCATTGTATGGCAGATTCGCCAACGGGGGGTCAGAGCGCTTCCATTGCAGCAATGGACGCAAAACGTTGTCATCACTCACACACTCATCACGAAACGGTTGCTTTCCAAAGTCGACGACGCATCGACTGAAAGAACTGCTGATGAAGAACAATGAGGAGGAGCATTGCAATGGTCGACAGCCGAGTGAACACTCGAAATGGTATACTAGCAATAAGAAGTTAAAAAGTATACTAGTGTGATGTACACCATCCAATAAGTCTCTTTCACTTGAAAAACGTTTCCGAAGACAGTGTTTAGTTTTTTAATGATGAGACGGAAAACATGTTTTTGCATGTGAATTTTCTCAGGAATCTGAGGAGGGAACTGATTTTCTTGGAATTTTCGGTTCGGTGAACTTCCTCTTAAAGATGTCCATATGTGTATGTGTGTATGTGTATGATGTAAGATAAAACAAAATTTTCAAGTGATATCAGGGTAAATGGCGGCTTCAGAAATACTTTAACCTTTTATCGTCAAGGGGGAGTTGTAATCTTAATTAGTGCTAAACTTTTGCCAATCTGCTCTGAAGCATGATGGATCCTCATGAAAAATATGAGTGCTCAAGGACTTAATTTATTGGAGGTATTACCGAAGCCGTAATATACTCTATATCTTTCTGGAGTAAAACCTTATTATAACATATTTATCTGGAAAATAGATTTGAAAGTTATAACCGTATGACGTTTTCTAGTCACTCGGAAGCAGCATAGATATGGTGATGGCTTATTTCCTCTGAGCTCATGATTGTATGTAATTTAAAAAAATAAATCGTGGAACTCCAGGACCACTTTTAGAAATTGGTGAATCCAAATATCCAAAGGGGCACTTTATGGCCATCCGGCAGCAA